TAAAGCTTTCACAAAACATACAAGCTTTTATAAAGTTTTCTTTTTTCTTTTTTTTTTTGAGACAGAGCCTCAAGCTGTCCCCCTGGGTAGAGTGCTGTGGTATCACAGCTCACAGCAACCTCCAACTCCTGGGCTCAAGCGAGTCTCCTGCCTCCGCCTCCCAAGTAGCTGGGACCACAGGCGCCCACAAGGCCTAGCTATTTTTTTGGTTGCAGCCGTCATTGTTGTTTGGCAGGCCTGGGCTGGATTTGAACCTGCCACTTAGGTGTATGTGGCTGGCGCCTTAGCCACTTGAGCCACAGGCACCGAGCCTGAAGTTTTCTTAATAGTCTATAATCTCTCTCAATTTTCTTCTAGGAACCTGCTATAAGCCAACAAAGTAAAACACATTTAAAGCTGCAATCAACCCTGGAAACAGGGTCTTGAGATCTTTACTACTTTTAAACATTGTTCAAACTTAAGCAGAAACCCAGAACTTAAAAAAAAATTGTTCAAACACAAGTACGGTCATTTCAATAAAGTGTCAAAGCCAAACTTCTTTTGATGCCTGCAAGACAATACTGGAACTTTCCCCTAACCCAGTCAGAGTCTTCTACCACTTCCTTCCTTGCTGACTGCTCCAGCCTCCTACTGCTCCTACGTTAGGCTTGCCAGGCTGTGGAGCCTTTGCCCCAGCTTAAACTCAATCCTCTTCCAACACAGACATCTCCGTGGCTAAAGGCTTCTCCTCCTCCAAGGTTTTGCTCAAATGTCACCTTCTCAGTTAGGCCCACTCTGACTGCTCTATTTAGAACAGCTATCAGCTCCCCAACTTTCCCTATATTCTTAAACTCTTTTTATACTTGCTTAAGGTGGAATGAGTAAAGATTTCCAAGTGATAAGTGAACACTGAAACATACGCGGTTATGGATTTAGAATGTCATTCAGATAGAAAAGACTAAGACCCAGCAGTCAGAAACACAAAACAAGGCTGTGAGCAGTGGCTCACGCCAATAATCCTAGATTTTGGGAGGCCGAGGTGGGTGGATGGCCTAAGCTCACAGATTTGAGACCAGACTGAGCCAGAGTGAGACCTGGCCTCTAAAAATAGCCAGGTGTTGTGGTGGGTGCCTGTCATCCCAGTTACTCGGGAGGCTGAGGCAAGAGGATCACTTGAGCCCAAGAACTGGAGGTTGCTGTAAACTATGACACCTCAGCACTCTACTAAGGGTGACAAAATGAGACTCTGTCTCAAAAAAAAAAAATGACAAAACAAGGTGCAAGGTAGAAGCCAAAAAGGTTTACAGGCCTGGTCAGCATAGGACAGTACAGTAGGCAGGTGCAGGGAAAGCAAACATGTTTCTTGGTCTGACAACAACCACTAGCCTTCCCCAGATCTTCTTTCCCCTAACTGTTCTTTTTTAGGCTTTCTCTTTTAGTGTTTATAAGAATCTAGGTGACCTGGAATTAAGATATTTGATTCTTCCCACAGGCCACACAACTGAAAATTGTAGGTATAACTATTAGCCTATTAAATTATAGCGGGTTCACAATACCACTTTTTATCTTCCTTTTAATACATTTGGTACTTGGCATGTATTCTTACTCTTTTACTGCTTTGTGTTTCAGGTTCTGTATATACAAAGAGGATGCTAATAACTCTAGGACATTAAGGTTTGCTTACAAACAATATTT